GATCTGATCGGTCTATTGGAGGTGATTGGCAGCAGGCGGTCTCTCAAGTACCCAGGTCCAATACCATGAAGACTAATGGTTGTCCAATGCCATCTTAAAAACCTCTAGTGATAGAGCACCCACAACTTTGGGAAACAAGCTGTTCCAGTGGTTTATTTGTTTGTACAGTCATGGCAATTCTCCTTGGTTCTAAGTTGAATCTCTCTTTAATGGTGTTCCACCCATTACTTCTTGTCCTGCCCTCAGATGTTTTGGAGAATAAGTTCTCTGTGAGAACCCCTCAGGTACTGGAAGACTGCTACCATTTCATTCCTAATACTTGTCTTCATTAGATTAGACATACCCAATTCTGTCAATCATTCATAATATGGTTTAACCTCCAGATCCCTTATCACCTTTCTTTTCTCTGCATTCTTTCTCAATATATTTTTTCTACTGGGGTAATCAGAATTGGACACAGTGTGGTCTCACTTGTGCAGTATAAAGTGGTACTATCACTTTGCATGGTCTCGAAACTATTCTTCTGCTGATGCAACCTAGGCCTGCAGTAGCTATTTAGTAGCTGCTGCACACTGCTGGCTCATAATTAAGTGGTGGTAAACTAGGACACCTAAATATCTCTCACAGAGGCAATTACAACCTATTCTTTATCTATGTATTTGGTTTTTCTTACTTAACTGTAGGATCTTACTTTTCTTTCTTATTTACTTTTCTGACCCCAGATTGCATTTTGTTGGCTAGAGCTCAGTGTTCATGTCTATCAAGGTCCCTCTAGGTCTTGAATCTATCATTTAAAGTGTTAGCTACTGTATTTCCCCCAGATTGAAGGTATTATCTGCAAATTTCATTTGTACCCCTTGTATCCCCTCATCTAGGTCATTTATGGAGAAGTTGACGTATACTGCACCTAAGACAGAACCTTGAAGTACCCTACTATTGCATGCTTTCCTTGATGTAGATGTAGCTCTACTGACAATTGTGGTTAGTACACCAATTATGAATCCATATGGTGTGGAACTGTCTATCCCACATCTATCCCAAGTAACAATACTATGGCTTCCTGTAACTCTTAGTCTTCTCTGGCAATTCCAACTGGTCAACACATACTACCCATTTTCCAATAGCAATTCCACATCAGAAGTACCATTCCCCTGTTTCTTGACCTTTGTTTTATGATTTTTTTCTCTTAAAATAAAAAGCTGAAAATATTTGCTCCATCTTCCTAGCACATTAATGGCAAATTACTAATAAGCATTGTGGACCCTGCAAACTATTACTAAAATATTTGTATATTACAGGATCAGCCTTATCTAATTTTCAAACACGGTCTATCTACCACTTTGTCTATCCTAAGTATTCAGAGAAGACTTACAAATAGTGTCTCTGTCCGGTCTTTAGTTTGATAACGGCACTCTACCAGGAATTCATCTCCCTGTGAACAAAGCAGTCATTAGAAATCTGAGACAATATGGGGTCTCCATAATAAGGGACTTATTGCCTAACTCTAACTCAAACAGATATCTTAGAATGACATACTGGTTTGAGAACAATATGCTTCTTCAAGTCTCTTGTTTCCTGAAGATTGAAATCATATTTATTGTCTTCACAGAGGATCCTCAACTGTTTTCCATTCCTGTACATAGAGACAATATCAGTGAGATAGACCATTGCTCACGCTGCAGAGATGGTTATATTTGGGGTGTAAGCACAACCTTGATCTAATAATTTCCAGACAAATGTTTTCAAAGATCACTGCAGCTCAAATGTCAATGTATTGATTTATTCAAAGGATTAGAGGAATGAATTTTATGGCTGTGTCTTCACATTAGCCTTGGCTCCATCAGCATGTAGCACAAAGCCTCTCTTGTTAGGATATTGGCTGTTCTCTTTGGCATGGAGAGCTCTCTAGGGCATGGGGCAGTGTCAGGATGGTGTCCCCACAGTCCTCTGTTGAGGGAAAAAGAGAGCCAATGTCTGCAGGAGTAGGATCTGAATGAGGCCAAGGAATCCCAACTAGTTTTTAAGGGAAAATTGGTGGCAAATGTTTCTGCATTAGAAACAGTGACAGAGTTGCTATCAGGGTCTTATCTTGGTTTTAAAGAATGAGGTTAAGGAAGGTTAAAGCAGTGGTGGGATTCAGCCAGTTCGCACCTATTCGGGAGAACCGGTTGTTAACTTTCTAAACAGTTCCGAGAACCGGTTGTTGGAAGAAATCTCCTTTTGTGTTTTTTTCACTTTACAGGGCTAATCCTGTAAGGAAGGCAGGAAGGAGACATTCTGGTGTTGTTTCTAGTCTAATCTTTATTGCCCTGCTTACAGAATCTGCCTCTCTGGTTAACCCTTATGACATTGTAACAGCAAAAGCTGCTCATCGACCTGAGTGGCGTTGAGTTAACCATGCCCACCCAGTCATATGACCACCAAACCCCACCTACCCAGTTGGTCATTAGGGCAGAGAACCTACCCACCACTGGGTTAAAGGAATAAAGGTACAGGACAACTATCAACGAAGCAACTCTTGACTGAACAGGTCAAGGAAACGCTCAACCTGAAACCTGAACAGTTACAGCTGCTTTCTTTGGTTGGCCATATGAACATGCCCCTCTTTTGTGGCTTGGGTGCTGTTCCATGTCCACTTTGTCTTTCCTACCTTTTAGGTTTGACCACAGCCAAGAAAATTATAGCTATGTGGACAATAGTGCTTGCATAGAGACTCTTTCCATTTTGGTGTTTGTGTTTATATTGGACAAGACTACCAGCATACTGACAAGAAATGTACTGCTCTCTCAGCCATAACAATGGAAAGTCAGAGTTCTTCAGTTTTTGCTTTTAAGCCATTCCCATATTGTTTTTAGTTGCCGGGGGGGGGGGGGATTGTGTTGCTGTTACAGCTGCCCTATAAAGTTTGCTTACCGATATTGGATACCTCTCACTCCTATTCCAGCTAGGTGGGTATGGAGTAAAAAACCAAAGACATGCATATCTGGAACTGGGCTCCCATTGATCTGGAAAACAAAAGAGATGAACTAGTTTTAGACTGGATCTGGGATGAAAAACAGCAGGAGGAGGAAACTTCCCTACTTATGTGTTCCTCTCCATCCATCAGTTCTGTTATTAGTCAACAGGATTATTAGATAACATATTTATCTTCACATCTACTCTGTCTGAAGGACCAAATCTTGATGTTTTTTATAGGAGACGCAAGAATAGTGGCTTGATCTCTTTTAAAACGTATGCACAGCCTTAGGGATGTACAGAGGTGGTATTCAGCAGGTTCTGACCAGTTCTGGAGAACCAGTAGCGGAAATTCTGAGTAGTTTGGAGAACTGGTAAATACCACCTCTGACTGGCCCCTCCCCCACCTCAAAGAGCCGAGGTGGCGCAGTGGTTAAATGCAGCACTGCAGGCTATTTCAGCTGACTGCAGTTCTGCAGTTCGGCTGTTCAAATCTCACCGGCTCAGGGTTGACTCAGCCTTCCATCCTTCTGAGGTGGGTAAAATGAGGACCCGGATTGTTGTTGGGGGCAATATGCTGACTCTGTAAACCGCTTAGAGAGGGCTGAAAGCCCTATGAAGCGGTATATAAGTCTAACTGCTATTGCTATTGCTATTGCTATTCTCTGCCTCCCGAGTCCCAGCTAATTAGGAGGAAATGGGGATTTTTGCAGTAACCTTTCCCTGGAGTGGGAGGGAATGGGGATTTTACAGTATCCTTACCCTGCCACACCCACCAAGCCACATCACACCCACCAAACCACGCCCACAGAACCGGTAGTAAAACTTTTTGAATCCCACCACTGGGATTGTGGCTGGAAACAGGAAGAAGAAACAGCTGGAAGAACTTTTTACTTTCCTATCATTTGGAAAAGTGTTCCATCTCCCATCTCTTTCCAATGTTTCCATGGTGAGAGCAAGCAATAACACATTGACCCAAGACAATATCAAATCTTCCCACCTCATCTGCTGAAAGCATTTGGATCACACAGATCCTTTTAACCAATTCTTTCAAGGAGTTTTATCTCTCCACCACTTTATTGGTCAGATGGTCAGTTTCCTCAGACTGGTTTTCTGACAAGAGGCTTAGGAGGGACTCTTGTGGAATGTTTTAGGTGGCCTAATATTGAGAGCCAATTTGGGGTAATGTTTAAGATGCTGGTGCAGGAACCATGAGTTCTAGTTCAGTATTAGGCACAAAGACAGTTGAGTAATTTTGAGACAGTCATTCTCAGCCTTGGAAAGAAGGATGTGATGAACTAGTTTTGAAATTTTGCCCAGAAAACCGCAGGGACTACTCCAGGATGTCACCATGAGTTAACACAGACTTGAAAACAAACAAACAGGAAAGAGGAAGGAGGGAGGAAGGAAGGAAGCCTACCAACTGTAGGCTTTTGATAAGAATGAGGAACTGAACTCAAGAGTTCAATACAGATAACTAGAGATGATTGTGATGGGATGAGTTAAAGGCTGCCAAGCTTACCTCATGAAAATGACTGGTATTGCAGAATCCGTAAGACAGAAAAGAATCTGCTTGAGGGGGGATGAAATGGACAGGAAAGGTGTAAATTCCTGTATGTAGCACCCCCATGTCATATGGACGAAGCTCCGAAGTATAGTATATTCTCAAACCTGAGTTATCAATTAAGCCTCAAGAAAAAGAAACAACAGAATTGAGTGAAACAACACTTGAACACTCACCTAAAACAATGGGTTCCATTCATTTAGGAACCATACATTGATACATACATTTATTAATCTGAATTTATTAACTGCCCAACTCCAATGGACTCATTTCAGTATTGTATCAGAGACCCAGAATAAGCATCACAGAAACCTTTTTTATTATGCCTTGCTTAGAAATTACAGCTGGAGAAGATGAAATCATAGAAAATTTTCATGGTTTTATCTAGTCATCTTTGAACTGACTGTACTGCCTCCTCTCACTTAAACAGCCCCCCCCATTAACTCATCTTGATAAGATTGCCATTTGAGAAATTACATATTTCTCAAATAAAATTGTAGAGCTTTTGGTACAGTTTTGTTTCTCTTGCTCAGTTGATCTATTCCTTATAGATATAGGAAACATACTCTACAGATTTCTTTTCATCTGGAATTTGAATCTTTGAATCCTGATAACATGTACTTCTTTCCATTCTGTCTTGGATACCTGTTTATGCCTCTAATTTTTCCCTTAATCAATTCACATGCACTTTTACTTACCTGGAATTAAATCAAAATTGCTGTAATGAATTTCTAATCGGATCCATTGGGGATCAATTGGAGTCCCTATGGAAATTCCAGTTTCATGTGGGAACATGTAGGGCTTATTTATGGAAATAGGAGAGAGAGAAGAAGGGAGGGAGGGAGGAGAGAGAGAGAGAGAGAGGGAGAGAGAGAGAGGGAGAGAGAGAGAGAAAATCACTTGACACTTCAATTCTTCAAACACAATGACTGATGTGTTTATCAGGAGAAAAGTCTCAATGGACTCAGTTGCTTTTAAATATATGTATTAGGTTGTGGGATAAGATGGGAGATTCTCTAGGGGCTTATTTTATATATATATATATATATATATATATATATATATATATATATATATATATATATGTATGTATG